AGAACGAGTTACTTTTTGTATTTTGCAGTTTTGCACAGCTTAAAAATGTTTGTACGAAAAGAAATACGCAGCGAATTATCTAAAGAATTCCATATTTGGATATTTGTAAATATATACAATAATACAATACATGCGTATCTGTATTACATGCCTTTTGTTATAAATACATACGAGGGTGGTCCAATAAATACTTTGCCTCACCGGCTGATGGCGACAGTATCGCAATAGCAATTTACTATCGTGCAATACATTCTCGTAGACAGCTACTTTCGAAATTTCAGCCGCATCGGATTCGTATTTTTGTTTTTATTGCGTATGGAAGCGAGAGTGTCTGCGGATTTTAGAAAAATGGAAAAAGAGCAATATAGGTCGGTAATTCGATTCTTATTTTTGGAAGGGAAATCGCACAGCGAAATCAAAGAGCGTTTGGATGCTGTGTACGGTGACTCTTCTCCTCTATGGCGACTGTCAAAAATTGGTTTAACGAGTTTCAACGTGGTCGCACGTCGGTTTTTGATGAACCACGCCCAGGTTCCCCGAAAACGGAAGATAACGTGACAAAAATCCATGATCTCGTATTAGCAGACCACCGATTAAAGGTGCACGACATATCTGAGACAGTAGGCATTTCAAAAAATCGCGTGGGTCATATTCTGCATGAAATTTTGGGCATGAGAAAGATGTTGGCGAGATGGGTGTCGCGTTTGCTCACTCCGGACAACAAGCGCAACCATGAGACCACTTCAGAGCAGTGTTTGAGGCTGTTTAAGCTCAATCAGAAGGAGTTGGATGTGACAGTTGACGAAACATTGATCCACTGATACACACCAGAGACCAAGGAAAAGTCGAAACAGTGGACTTCACCAGGCGAACGTGCCGAAGAAGGCGAAGACTGTCCCATCGGGCGGAAAGGTGATGGCCACCGTTTTTTGGGATTCACAAAGTGTGATCCACATTGACTACCTGGAGAAGGGTAAAACGGTCATAGGGCTGTACAATACCGAATTATTGGACCGATTCGACGCCAAATTGAAGAAAGAACGGCCCCTCTTGGCGAAGAAAGTGCTCATCCACCATGATAACGCACTGGCTCACACCTCCGCCTTGTCACGGTCAAATTGGTCGAATTGGGCTATGAACTGCTGCCCCATCCACGTATTCTCCAGATTTGGCCCCATGCGACTTCTTTTTGTTTCCAAACTTAAAAAAGTTACTCGCCGGGCAAAAATAGCAGTCCAATGAGGAGGTGATCGCCGCCATGGAGGCCTACTTTGCAGGCCTCGAGAAAATGTATTTTTCAGACCGGTTAAAGAAGTTGGAGCATCGCTGGGTCAAGAGTATCGAGCTAAACGGAGACTGTATTGAAAAACAAATCGCCACTTTTCCAACATTTTTTGTTTTTCTTTTGTTGGCTAAGTACTTATCGGACCACCCTCGTATATAGACGTATCCATTTGTTAAAGTTCAGCGGTGTACTCTTCATCTAATACACCTGCACGTACGTTCTGTTCCAGTATGTGTAATGAAAGCAACAAACTGCATTAGTAAGACTTCATATTATATGTATAAGCCCTGCCTACATCCAAGACATTTGTTTTTTATTGAAACCATGTGAAATAACAATGATTGGGAAACTCGTATAAAATAAACATGAACTCCAGAAAGTCGAACAAAATTTTAAAAATATACAGTTACGCAAAATTGCAATAAAATTTTGGAGAACTTCTACGTTTTAACAATTTTAGCATAATAAATCCTTAACAAATCGGAATTCATTTTGTAAATATTTTTTAAAATAGCCGTTCTTATTCACACTGAAGCAAGTCAACCTTTTTTATTTGCAGATTATCTGTAACGTTTAAATCTTTCACGTTTTCATTATTTAAAAATTATCTAATTAAATATGAATTTCCCGTTCCGTATTTTCACAAAGTAATTTAGGTATAAGTAAATATTTAATAAAAAGGGAATCACAATTTAAAAAAAATATACTCTTAATTTTGATGACATTTATGTGTCTATTTGTATTTGTTAAAATGGCTTAGAGAAAGTACACTACGAAAATTATTTTTAGCATTAAAAATGTGAAACGTGAATAGCACAATCCAGTAAGAAAGAAATATTTTTGTGTATTAGTCGTATGAAAGTTTAAAAAGTTAGTGTTGGGTTAGGCTGTGTTAGGTTTCAGGTATTTGTCTTACTTGTGTTTTCCAATGAATACCTACATGAAGTATGCTGTTAATTTTGGATTTTAATTTTTATTTATTTTATTTTAATTTCTCACGTCAAGAAAGCTTACACAGGTTGTACCTACTACCCTTTAACACTTTCTACATCCTAACCACCAAACAGTCAAATAGAAAAGTATTTAACTTGATTTAACTTTAAATAATCATTACTTGTATACAAATAATATCTCCCTAAAAACTCTGTTTGCTGAAGCAATTGGCAAATAAAAAATAACGACTTGATTAAGCGCATTATTCACTTTATTTATTGACCACAAGTTTGATGTTTTCCTTTTTATTTTTCAACAGATTTTTAAGTTCATGACTTTTCTAATTTCCTTAATTTAATATTCATCAAATTTATTTATACAATATTCGAAGAACAAATAAGCTGTATATTCTCCATTATTTTTTTGTTACCTACTGATGCAATTAAATTATTATCAGTTAATACATAAAGAATCGAAAAATACTTCTAGTTGACGAATGACTCAAAATTCAAAATCTCAGTCATGTTTTCTTCGGAAAAATGTTCGTGGGTTTAACAAATTAAACTTTTAAGACTCACAACGACAAAAACTATTTATTTACACTAATTATTATTGAACTTAAAAACACTATTAAATTATTACTAAACTTAGGTAATTATTCTATTTATTTGCAGTACTGTTACTAAATCGTTATTCACTGCGCTGTCAATTTATTTCTAGATTCACTTCTGCAACGGTCAATTTATTTCTCTTCTTTCACTTCTTCAACGGTCAATTTATTTCTACTCCTCTCGGCGATCGTCTCTTCCTTTAAATACTCCCTTACTTCCTTTCGGGAACATTCTCGAGCCGCCCGGAAAAGTTTCGTTTTCTTCGAAGTGTTTAATTGCTTTCCCGGAACGCAAGTACGACACACACGTTTACAGATACGGTGCACGTGAAGAAAGGCGCCCGCGGCTAGTCGGTGAATCGATAAGCCGCTCACACACACGTATGCCCGTTCGCACACAAACACGCTCGTGCTCGCTACATTACTATTAGAAGTTTAGGATGAGTTCAGTTTCAGTGAAAGGATACATCTAATTGTAAAAAATATTAGTTTATTGATTTTTAAAGAGGAAATTAGAATGTTTTAATATAATATTCTGAAGTTAGTTATATGTGATAAATATTCGATTCTCTTCTGTCATTTGAAAATTTACGCTTAAATCAGCACTTTAACCGACCGGTATATCGAATAACGCACATACTGATCGTTTCAAGAAATTAGGGATATGCCTCTTCCCTTTATTAGGATGCGCCGTAGCATAATTCCGAATTCAATAATATTTGTCTGCGGAGCTCATTTCTCCACCGATCATCTAGCTAGAACTAGAGAAAAGCGTAGAGTACCATTTGCTCCTCCATCTCCTCACCTTCTTCAAGTAAAGGAGCAATAATTGCTAAATTGATGCTGTCCTGGTTTGAGTCTAAAGGTCGTCGTCTGTTGAAGTTGCTGTACCTTCCACATAGCATCGGGGATGGAGAAACCTTTGAAGAAGTTACCACTCGTGCTAGCGAAACGTTAGGAAGCAACTCAGCCGACGACAGCCTTTAGACTCGAATTAGGACAACATTAATTCACCTAATATTGGCTATGAAAGCCTTTATCAATTTCTCAATAACAGTAACACGAAAACGTGGTAGGTTACTGTCCAAAAATACAATATAAAACTAGTGAGATAGTGAGAATTTTAGCCTAACATGGATGTGCACTACAATGTAAAACTAACATCGTATAGACGAATAGTGAGAATTTTAGCACAACACGGACGTGCACTACAGTGCTGTTAGGATAGGCATTATCAGCATATCATGTATACATATATGCTCTCTAAGTTCTAAGATATAAGTGAATGTATGTTTACCATATTTTCTCGTACGAATTGTTAAAGTCGTGCTCAAGTAACTAGTTAGTGCCTTTATACATTCTTTTTTATCCACTTTCACTCCTAGTTTTAAAAATATGTACATAACATTCATATACATATTTGTTTGCCATTCTGTTTTATTTTAAAAATATTTGTAGCAACCAAAATCCAAAACATTGTAAGCTATATATAATCTTTTGATAAGAACCCTTTTTAAAAATCTCACTTCACTTTTATAATAATGTAAACTACATTTTAAAAAATATCACAGAAAAAAATTATAGGACTTAAAATTTTATACATATAAGGTAAAATGTTTACCGAACATAAAAAGTAAACGTTTCTTGTCTGTATTTTTTCTTTTTACCTATGTCACACGAACAAAAATGGATTATTTGGTGAAAGTGTGAAATAAGTTTTTTCAACCACTGTATAAAAATATCACTTGCTTCTCTGAGGCTGTTAAAGCCATGGTTGTCGCCTACATGTATGAAAACATCAATAGCTTTCAAGATATTAAATGGGAATATCATAATAAGTTTTAGTGAATATAGACCAAACGTCCAAGTAATAAATAAAAAATTGATCTAAATCTATCCAGCCATTATTGCGTCGTGCAATCATATCGACGGGCCTGGCGTCATTATGTATTCTGCGCTTTAGTATCAATTTCTAAACAAACTTTCAAAAATAATTGCTGCATAATATGTTTTTTAAACGTATTTTTAATATTTTAGTATGTAAATCGTTTACATCAATTGTAAGAATAAGTATTGAGGCTTGTTACTTTAATAAGCTTATAGTAGAAACGTTGCATGATTAACGTAATGGTATATATTTTTTGATTAACTACAATGTTTTTTCATTTTCAGATATCTGATATAGTAATTGGACAAGAACCGAATGTTTCTGCAAAAGACTATTTGTTGCGATGGGCCAAACGTACCACACACAAATATCCAGGAGTACGTGTTACAGACTTTACAACATCCTGGAGAGATGGTCTTGCCTTTAGTGCCATTATACATAGAAATAGACCGGATCTTATTGATTATCGTACCGCGAGAACACTTCATGCCCGCCAAAGGATCGAACAAGCCTTTTATATTGCCGAAAGAGAATATGGTGTCACCAGACTTTTAGATCCTGAAGGTATTTATCGTAACACCGCTTAGTATTTCATATAATACCAAATGATTTTTTCTAACATTTATATTTTAATTAAAAAGGGATCCAAGAAGGGAGGAGTTGAAATATAAAAATAAAAATGGAATAACAATGAAAAAGTACTATTTCCTTCCTTATCAGTTATTTTTTTTCTGTTATACGATATCCCATTATTGTAATTCAAAATTAAATTGTGTATTAACTCAAACTGGTACTTGTTTCGTTTTTCTCTTATTGATATATATATACCTAATTATTAGTTATTGTACAACTATTATTTATTGTTCTTAGATGTTGATACTCATGAACCAGATGAAAAATCACTCATAACGTACATTTCTTCACTCCACGAAGTTTTCCCTGAACCACCTCCAATCCATCCATTATATGATGCAGCAGCTCAGCAGAAAGTTCAAGAATATAGAGAAATTGCTTCTTCGCTTCACTTATGGATAAGAGAAAAATATAGCTTAATGCAAGTAAGTTACATTTAAGATATTAAAGCAATGTGAATTTTATAAAAATTATTTGAAAGGATCGATCATTCCCACCCACGCTTATTGAAATGAAAAAATTGGCTACTGAATCCTCAAGATTCCGGACCGATGAAATACCTCCACGACAACGAGAAAAACAATATTTAAGTCAAATGTTTCATGAACTCGAAAAATATTTCAAGTCTATTGGTGAAGTTGATATTGAACCTGAACTACATATTGAAAACATAGAGAAAAATTGGAGACGACTTATGGATGCTTATCAAGAAAGAGACAGACTCATTTCAGATGAATTAAATAGATTAGAAAAACTTCAAAGATTAGCGGAAAAAATCCACAGGTTTATAATTTTCATTTTTATCATTAATAACAGTTTTGCATATATAGCTATTAAATTTTATAGTTAATGTTTATTTTTAGAGAAATAAAACAAACCGATGCAAACATGGATGTAATTGAAAGAAATATCGAAGAAGAGTCGAGAAGGATCGAACGTTTGCATCCATTAGATGCCAAAAAAATTGCTGATCAAATTGAATCTGATCTGACTGTTGTTGAAGATAACATTAAATCTATAATGAACGATATTCACATTTTACATTCGGGGCGATATCCACAAGCATCCGAACTTGATAAAAGAGCTAAAAAACTTCACGAAAGATGGGTGCAACTGAGACGTCTTTTGCACAACAACATCGTTAGACCATTAGCCAACATGAGTTTCCCTGTTGAGGAAAGAACAGTTACCAAACATATTAGAACCGTCCAAGAAACAAGAAATGTCGACACAAATCCTCATTTCAGAACATTATTGGATGCTATTGAGTGGTGCAAAACGAAATTGGTTAGTTTGGGGGATTACAATTGTCACTTTCACTTTCATTAGCAATTTTTTATATTTTAGAAACAATTACAAGAAGCAGAATATGGTACTGATTTACCAAGTGTCCAATCAGAACGCAACATTCATCAACGTGAGCACAAACAAATTGATCAGTATCACTCTAAAGTTGATACATGCATAAAAGCCCGCCAATATATCAATACAGAAGATTTACCCCTCTATAATCAACATTTGAATGAATTACAGAAAACATACGCTGAACTTTTATCATTTTCCAATAATAGAATGAGTGATCTTGATAGTTTGTTAGATTTTATTCAGTCAGCTACAAATGAATTAAATTGGTTAAGTGAAAAGGAAGAAGTCGAAGTTTCGCGTGATTGGTCCGACACTAAGATGAACTTAAAAGGTGTTGAAAAATACTATGAGGTAAGTGAAAATTAGTGAATTTTATTAAATTATTCGGAATAGTTTTACTTCTGTAAACGATATTGAATATCCTTCGAAATATGAACTATTAATAATCAATTTACTGTTTTGTGATTTTATGCAGCAAAATTATGGATCAGGCTTCCAGGTAAAAAAATAAATAAATTGGTCAAATAAAAAATATTTCTTATGGATTTTTTAAATCAAACATTAATGTGAAATGTTAAATAGATAAATAAATATGTAATTTTTACATAAAAACAGTTTTAAATTATACTGATTTAATAAGATAATAATCGGAAATTTCACCTTATATTAAATATTATTCAGTATTCCTCCCTTAGGAGTTCTCTCCAAAAACAAATGACAAACAGAATTAAATGAAATTTCACCCACACCTGCCTAAACATGTCATAGAAAAATTCTATTAAAATTTATATGGCTCTAGGATACCCGCGAAAAAATGTTAATGATAATATTGTATAGCTATTAACGTGAAGTCTAATGGGAATTGACTGTAAAGACAGTTAATTGCTGAGAGCCATCAATGAAATTTTGATTTAATAATGAATAAATGCCTAAAAAAAAGTGGTAAAGTATTTCATTATGAATAATAATGAAATGCTTATAACCTAACCTTATTTCTGTACGTTTCTACATATACATACAGATCGCTTGTTCGTGAAGTGCCGCAACAGTTTTTTCGAATAAGTAAGGACGATAGGGCCCATTTAATATACTGACATACAGAAAGAATTCCCTTAAAAGCAATAAAATATGACGTGTATATTCCTCAGTATTTTGTGTGATGTTGAAAATAATGAGACAATTTTTTTTTTAAGAATTTGATGAGTGAATTGGAAAAACGAGAAATACAATTTGGTGCTGTGCAAGATCGCGGTGAAGCATTAGTCCTCCAAAATCACCCTGCAAGTAAGGTAATCGAAGAGCATATGGCAGCTATGCAAGCCCAATGGGCGTGGCTTTTACAACTGACCCATTGTCTTGAAGAACATTTAAGAAATGCTCAAAACTATCAAACATTTTTCAAAGATATTGCGGTTGCTGAACAATGGCTTAAAGAGTATTTAAACCATTTATTAATTAAAAAAACTATAATTTAACTTTAATTTTTTATATTGTAGAAAAGATGAAATCATGAATACTGAATTCAGTCAATCTGAATTTACTCTAGATGTCGGTGAGAGGTTATTACAAGGAATGCAGACTCTGAGAGATGAATTAAACGCTTTTGGAGATCAGGTTCAATCGTTGTCTGCTCGAGCTCAAGAAATTACACCGTTAAAGCAGAGAAAACAACCTATTACTCGACCAATTACTGTAACTGCTATTTGTAATTACAAACAAAATAATGTATGAAAATATGTTTACTTTATTTTGCTCAACTTATAACACATTTTATTTCGTTGACAGTTTGTAATTGAAAAAAATAAGGAATGTACACTTACGGATAACTCAGGTCGCATTAAATGGCGTGTCCATAACAGTAAAGGAATCGAAGCACAAGTACCCGGGGTTTGTTTTGTCATTCCTCCACCAGATAAAGAAGGGTTAGAAGCTGCCGATCGATTAAGAAGGCAGTACGATAGATCTATTGCATTATGGCAGAAAAAACAACTTCGAATGAGACAAAATATGATTTTTGCTACCATTAAAGTTGTTAAGGGTTGGGACTTGCCACAGGTAATTCTAAGTTGATCAAAATGCATGACGTTATTAAAAATTATTAATTTTTTAGTTTATTGCTATTGGCGCTGAACAACGAAATGCTATAAGAAAAGCCTTGAATGAAGATGCAGATAAATTAATGGCAGAAGGTGATCCGTCAGATCCACAATTACGTCGTCTAAGACGGGAGATGGATGAAGTCAATAGATTATTTGATGAATTGGAAAAACAAGCAAGAGCAGAAGGTAGGGTATTTTACTTTGAATTTTCAAAATATATTTGAAATAATATAAATACTATTTTAGAGGAAAGCAGAAACCAAACACGAATATTCAACAGCCAAATTGCCTCACTGCAGCAAACTCTTGATGAAGCCGAACGAATTATTAATCAACGTGTGATAGCTTCATTGCCTCGTGATTTAGACACGTTACAACAATTACTTCTTGAACACAAAGAATTCGAATCTCAGTTGCAAAATCTTGAGCCGGAAATTGAACAAGTTAAAGATACTTTCCGTAGCATAACACTGAAAACGCCTCAACACAAAAAAGATCTAGAGAAAATTCTCAATAAATGGAATTACATATGGAACACGAGTAATTTATATCACGAGCGACTTAAATGTTGCGAAATTGTCTTAAATTCAATGGAAGATGCTCAGCAAGTTATTTCTGAATTTGAAAGTAAATTGGCTCTTTTCAAGGAACTACCCGCAACAGAGAAAGCTTTAGAAACTGTCCATGATGATTTGCTTAAATTACAATCTGCAGTTGGGCAGCAACAAATTGCTATGGATCAGCTTAATGATGATTTTGATAATACTAAACGTCTTACGGAAAAATCTAGACCAAACCACAGAGGTCCACACAATGATGTTATAAGATTAGAAAACGAAATTCAAAAGTTAAATAACCGATGGAATAACGTATGCGGTCAATTGGCTGACAGATTAAGAGGCTGTGAACAAGCATATAATATGTTAAAAAAATATCACAAAGGAAAGGAAAACGAAGATGCTTGGTTAGATGATACATATGGAAAACTACAAACAGTACAACCCATCAAGGAGAGAGCAAAAGATCATTTCGACGCTACAAGAGTATGTTTCAATTAGATATTTTCTATATTATTAGATATTGTATAATCTATATATGTATAATATATATNGCCGTACCTGTGAATTTCACTGCTACACTTAAAAATTAAATTAAAATTAAAAACAGAAATGTAGGGTTTTACAAGGAATTGATTAAATATTGTGGTAAAAAACTGGCAATTTTTCTCTTAAGCGACTCTGCACAATTTTAACCTATGGTACTACAGAAAAATAATCCCAGTCAACAATTGAAGTACAATTAGAAAAAAGAAATGAAAACAGGTTCATGGTAAAACAAAAGATATTTTAAATATTATCTTGTTAATCCTACCTTGAGCTACGGGTTACGTTGACTCTTCACTATTCATTTGTAAAAAGACAGACATTTCGGTAAAATTTTATTTTTTTTTTATAAAGAGTAGAAAAGGCAGACTTAAAAGCGGAATGAAAGGTGCTTTATTAAAAATTAAAACAGCTTCACCATCTTTGACACTTTTCCAGAAATAACTAAAAAGAAATTAGGTATAGCAAATTAATTACAATTGTGGTATAATAATATATTTTGTATTACTACTGAACTACCTTAATTCTTGTCAGGTACACCTATCAAATAATAATGATAATAATACTACATCCCACGTTGCGTGGAAGTTACTTCACAAAACCTTCAATCTCTTTACATTTCTTTTATTATTTACATCCTACGTACGAAATATATTAACAATTGGGATAAGGACAAAAGCGTGGCGTTCAACAGAAGTTTATACATTAAAGATTTATTGTAATCAGAAATACTTTTAATTCTTGCGTTTTAAACACTTTTCTTTACAATTGTACATTTTCACAATTTCGTGAATATGCAGTTATGATAAAGATTTAAATGTTATAAAAATATTAAAAGAATTTGTAAAGAGCATGTAAAACTGCGCCATTATCTTGTTTATCACTTTAACATAGAGACTCTTCCTAAACCTTAATTTAAGTAAGAATAAGCGAATTATGAGTACGTAATAAAAATGTGCTCATACCGGTGATTGATTGCAATAATTATTGCTAGAATATTCAGGTGACTCGTTGGTGGATATTAATGTAGTCTAACATTGAAACTTTTACTTATACTGGTAGTTATTTAGAGGAAGGATAGTTTCAAGGAATTCGTTTTTTTTGTAGTAGTAAATATGCATTTATTCACGTATGACATCATAACTGTTTTAGTCATGCTGATGAACCATATGGACTGATTTTGTATTGCAGATATTTTTCACGAATCCCTAAATTATTGCAAATATCACTTATAATATAACTAATAAGCAGTTTTCAAAAATATGTATAATTATTGAAATAATTGTCAAATAGGTATATAGACGAACTTGTCATGTAACTACTTTAGTGGCCATCAGTCGTGTGTGCGATATATTAACTTACGGTAACATTAACACATTATCATACTCGGTTGTAAATTATTCGTCTATACATATATGCGATGATGTAATTGTTTTCAGACGTTAAAAATATTAATTTTAGTGTTTTAGTAATGCGAATTCTAAAGATGTAGTATTTAAGAAATTGTTTTCTGACATTTTTAAAGTTGAAAAATTATTTATCGGTTTGTGTTTTATTAATTAGTATTTCAATATTATGAAGGGTCACTATTTAAATTTACATGGTTATATCGTTTGGTGGTTACTATTTAGATATAAATGGTCAGTATTTAAATCGAAGGTGGCAATGTTTAAATTTACGTGGTCTAACTAAATAACTAGCAAACTAACTAACCTATCGTAACCAGTTACTAATTAGAGTACTGATTAATGTATGTACTGACAGTTAAGTATGTTAATACTCGCCGTATATTATTATTGTACTAACCCTTGAGTATTTTCATACTGACCATTTAATATTTTTATAGTGATATTTGGGTAATAAAATATTGACCCAATGTTGTTTTATCTGCTGACCGAAAATGGATTTAAATACTGAACATTTAATGTGTTGCCTTATTTATCTAGGTCACGTTACATAAATCAATACTTTGACATTAATACAAGTATTAACAGAATTTATTATGTTAATTGGAAGTCGGTACATGGTGCATTTCAATATACATTTAGCAGGTGATAATAGAGCTAAGAATTCATAAATTCTAAATAAATAAATAAATTTCTAATTTTCGGAGTAAGTAATAAAATTTAAGAAAAATACTTGCCGCATTCATAAAAAATGTGAAACAAAACAATATTCGTTTAAATGTTTATTAATATTTCATTTTCCTTTCGTAGGATAAAATATATTTCCGCCAAATAGAAAATTCTTGCATAGAAAAGCTCATGTATTTTAAGTCGTTCACTTCTCTGTGTTTTTTGTTTTCATTATAAAATTCTACATAGATTTCAGTTCGGTTTTTGTCCTTTTCTTTTTTGTGTCAATGTCACACTTAAAAATAAACTTTGCAGCAATGAATTTGAACCTGAAACTTCGGGCGCGCGTGCGGTTGTGTCGGCCAGTCCCGCTGCTGATATATTCCCTTTATTACAGAGGCTGTCGCTGTCGCTTTCTCGAAACCGAAATTGCCGTGGTAGTATCGCAGCGAATTTGAACGTGTTTGAATTGTGTTATCGCTGTAACAATCGCAATAAATCCGCGGCTTCTCGAAACGTTTTTATTTATACGAAATATATTTAATTCGAACATTTACGATATCTTATGTGTTATTTTGTAGTGAAAAATCGAATTTATCCCGTTGTGATAGTTTTGCTATAAATAAACACAATAATGAGTAACGAATACAATTTTCAATATGAGCTCGAAAAAATACCATGGGTGAGTAACAATGTCATTATTTTGTTTTATTAGGTATACCTAATTGGTGTCAAAACGGTACCCTCGTAAAATTTTCCGTAACTTTATTTTATTGTTAGCCTGATTGCAAATAGTTTGCATTACAAACATAATCGATTTTGCTTACTTAACGATCACTCTATGTGGTTTTTTAGTACGTATTGTTCATTACTATTTTTAAAAATGCATGTACCTAGACAGCACTTTTATATACATAGACAGTTATATATGCATACTGATATCCAATAATAGTTTTGGTAAATTTTACTTTTTATCGATTCTTGCTGAGGATACCGAAAAACATTAAATATACACATCCTGGACATTTTTTGGCGTGTCCTTTAGAAATCAATACCCACGTATATACCGGCCGGCTAGTTGAAATGTATTAAATGAATGTAAAGGGCTTTATAGTTGCACTAGATTTTTAATTCTTTATTTTTGTAATAAATCCATTATTTTCTGATTCATAGACATTACGTACTTTTACTTACTTTACTTAATTTTTTAACGTACACACATCTACGTAGGTATGTTCTTGATTTTTTTTTCAGAAAATGACTTAATCCCTAATGTAAATTTTTATTTCACTATTAACGTATGTAGGTGTTTTTTTACGAATATCTTGCCTTAACCAATTAAACATGACTTAATTAATATATCGTATCGTACACATATGTTGAGCACTAGTACTCTAGAAACTCACTTAGTAAGCAAACCACGATTAGTATTTTTAGATTAGATTAATTAGACAACCACACCATAATAATTTTTCACCCTTTAATGCTTTGAATTGTTACCAAATATTATTGTTATTAAATAGAGAAAATTATGGTATGTAATTATATTGAGAGTGAAGTTCATGGTTACGGCGCGATTTGATAAATAATTTTAAACGGGAACCATGACTATTTTTATCTGACGTGAGATAAAATAAACCATAACGTGGTCATTGGCACTAGAGCTATATTTAAATCGAATTACTTTTTGTTTTCTATTAGACCTGTAATTCGTCATGTCAATAAGTTTATGTTAAAATTACATTCAGGATTGTGCGTACATAAAGGATATTTGTAATATATATATATGTACCTATCTCACCGAAGATTTTAAGTTTTTCGATGCGTTTGCATATCTACTTATTCAAAATATATTCTAAATTCCATACTGGGAAACTTTTCGCCGCATTTATCACTGATAAATAATACAAGATAAAGTTGTTTACGATTAAGTAGGTATTAAAATGCCTTCTTAGAACTCGATTGTATTTTTACGCATTTTCTGAAAACATACTTAAATTGGAAATTGATATCTATTTAAAAATGATATCCTGTTTTTTTGAATAATAAAAATACGTTGTTATCATTTAAAAATGTAATTTAAAGAATGCAAATTATTCTGAGAAGGAAATATTACATTCGTCATGTTTAACTACTTATTGAAGTTGTGGTTAATTTTCAATTATATTACAACAAAAGTGTTTTTAATTATAATTCTATTAAACTTTTTTTTTCGCTTTCAGCGATTAGTTGAGCAAATGGAACCTCAACTGTTTAAAACATTCCGTTCTGAATTTCACATAACAACATCTTCCGAGCAATCGATATCTTACTCTTCCTCGTCAGGGTACAACAAGCAGTAAGTTATTTTATTGTATTTTGTTGTGGCTGTTGCACTTTTATCCTTACATTTTAATTTTTGTGTGATGTGCTACATTTACATTTAGATTGAAATCGTCCAAAGAAAATATAACCTCCACTAAGAGAGGAAGTAATGGAGTAGAAGAACTGAGTATAACAAATGGTCGTCCCCCCGATAAATATACTTCAACAACTGCTATTTACCAGGATCCCCAGCAATGGGGCTCTACAATGCAATTTAGTGAAATTAAATCTTTAAAACGGGTGCATAAGGTGAATGAAGGAATTGGAACCGACAGTATTATTGATACACCAAGCATAATTAATCCATTTACTGGTGAAATTATGACTATAAGAGATGCTATCGCTTCTCGAATCATAGATGTTCGCACTGCCAAAATAGTAATATCATCAGATGGAAGTCAAATCCCCATTTCAGAAGCTGCAAAACAAGGCTTAATTGAACCGAAGGTAGTTGAGCGGCTTTACGGGCCTTGTGGTATAATTGAAGACGAACATGCAATAACTCTTCTTGAAGCTATTCAGCGGGAGATACATGAAGCCGAAAGGAGCTTTATAGATCCATCTGAGAAACAAGTAAAGGTAAAGCACAGTAGTAGCTCTGATGAGCTCGATAACAATGACAGTGTGGATGTACCACAAAAACGTTATATGGAGAGCGACCAAACGTTATCAATTAAAGAAGCTACTAAAAAAAATCGTATTTATTCAAAGCATCAGGAAGTTAAAATAAAAACTGTTCCGGTATGTTTATATGATGCACTTGGTCAAGGTCTAGTTGATGATAGAACGGGTTGGATTGTGGATCGAAATTCGGGTAATAAATATCAAATTGACGCAGCAATAAATACAAACATAATTGAAAACAATATTAGAGAAATTGTTGATAGTAAAACAGATCGTAAAATCACTGTAAGTGAGGCTATAGATGAGGGAATAATTAATCCAAAATTAGGAAAATATTGTTTACCCCATGAAAAGATTTCCTTTTTGGAAGCTAGGCGAAGACAGTTTATCATTAAACCGTTAACCTTAAAAGACGCGTATGAATTAAACCTTTTAGATGACGAAGGTAATGTATTTTCACCTTTACATAATAAACTAAATATTTTAAACGCGATTGATTGTGGTGTATTAGATTATGATAGTGTTAAATCTGTGATTAATAGAGAAACAAGCGCTTTATTAACATTAAAATCTGCTTTAGAGGAAGGTATAATTCAACCTAATGGAATTTATAAAGATAATGTTACGGGTGAAACATTTACAATTGCTGAAGCAGTGCGCCGGGGTTATATTACATCAGTTGCCCAAAAATCAATTTTTGATATCGACGGGTTCCAAACGCCAGATAAATCTGGCTATATTAGCTTTAACGCGGCTAGTTCAAAAGGTTTTATAAGTAAAAAACAAGGAGGTAGTTTAGTAACAAATATTAAAAATGGAAAACTGATATCATTCAAAGAGGGGGTAAAAACAGGGGAAGTAAAACCTGAAATATACAACATGTTAACAAGAAAAGTAGGCATATTTGAAGAAGGCATAGAACTCACTGTTGTTGAAGCTGTTTTCAAAGGCTACATTAATCCTAAAACTGGAAACTTTATAGATATCAGTAAGAATAAAATAGTACCTTTAAATGATGCTATATCACAAAACCTTATATCGCCTGAAGGGGCATCACTATTAAATAGTCTATTAATGGTTAATGTAACAACCCAAACGACCTGTAAAGTAATTCAACGTTATGTAACTGTTACCACTTGTGGTGAAAAATATCTTCACAGTAAATTAACATACACAGAAGCAATTCGAAAAGGTCTTATTGATAACGAAAGTAAAACATTTAGAAATCCTGAAACAAATGAAGTAATTTCAATTGCTCAGGCACTTCAAGAAGGAAAATTGTCACCAGATGAAAACAGCTCTAATGAAAACGTAACTGTACAAAAGCAGATTGAATCAGCTAATAAGTCAATTGACGATCAACCGGAAAATAGGGTTTTAACAACGTGTAAAGAGAGAATTAATTTACCTATACACTCAGAAGATTTTATAGAAATAGAAAAAAGAAATACAATTTTTTCAAATACTAAAGTTGAAATTCCTGCAGAGGGATGGAATTTATCTGACGCAATTAAACAAAAGATGTTTGATTGTGAGACGGGACTTTTTACTATCACGGGAACAGACAGATTGGTAAGCTTTGAAGAATGTATTAAGCTAAAGATTATAAATCCACAGTCTGTAATAGTTGTTGATCCTAAAAGTCAAAGAAAAATAAGCATTTCGCGCAGTATTGATAAAAAAATAGTAGATAGTACTGGCCATTATAATTTAGACAAAAGACGTATTACTATGAAAGAAGCAATTGAAAAGGGTTATATTTTATTAGAAGAAACAATGGATGTAGACCTTACTCCATTGACAAGTCCAAGAATCGCAGAAAGAGCGTATGTTCATCAAACTCATAAAGTTCCTGAACCGGTAAAATTAGAAGAAGGAGTTATTTTTGACCCAAGTACAACTTTAATAATATTACCCGAAAAAAGCGAATCTTTACAGCTACTAAAAGCGCTTCATGAAGGTAAGATTTCACCTAATACCGTTAAGATTATAGACCCTACCACAAACAAAGAAGTAGATTTTAAAGAAGGACTTGCTAAAAATATTATAAATCTTGAGAAAAATACAATGAAAAACAAAAAAGGAAATGATGTACCTTTGAGTGAAGCAGTAAGAAGTGGACATATAACTGTCGCGGGAACTCCGCTAGTTGCAGAAAAACAAATAGTTAAGCATGTTCAAAAAATGTTAGTTCATGATTCTCAAAGTAATGATTATATTCCTATTGAAATCGCATACGACATGTGTCCAGTGGAAGAGAAAAGCGCAGAAATTGCACAACAAATAGTATCAAACACTCCTCAATCGACAATTGAAACAAAATCGAAAATTGTTTTAGACAGTGTTAAAGTAACTTGTCCAACAACAGGTAAAATTTATACTGTTCATGAGGCAATTCAAGCAGGGATGTTAACACCGGATTTTATCGATAAATTAACGGATTCAGAAATTCAATATGACGTTGCAACATTAATAGATTCGGATGACAAAAAGTTTTTAACTCCTGGTGAAAAAGTTCGGGGACGAATAACTGTTGAACCANTGATTAAATTACTTACTGATAATTACAATAAAAAACGTAAAATGCTTGCTTTTTATGAAATAAATGAAAATTAAGTTTTAATAATTTCTTTAAACTCTAGTTGAAGAAATTGTATGATTTTTCTATGTTGCTGTGATAGATACGAGAATAACTTTTGTTAAGAATTAAATTTTTAAAGGGAATATTTTTCATTATCCTCGTTAATTTGTTTGTCCATACTTCATAACGTCATTTTCCATTTTGTACAATATTTTAAATAAATTTGAGAAATTATTTAAACAAACTTCAAATTGAAACCAAATTAGATTTCATTTCATTTTTAATCAAACATTGAAGTTTTGTTTAAATTTGTACAAATGAGTAGTTCTATTAATGCACATGCATCTTTTGATAAATGTCGGTAAAATACTCATCACGGCTTATGTATCATCATACCTTCGCACTTACTGACTAACATTTGACTCCTAACCTCTAACCGTAACACTAGATATGGGGCAAAGGGCTTCAGCGTTTCCGTGAGGCCCTTCTGGAAATTCAACCTTCGTTGGATGGTACAGCTGCATTCGTCGCTGCCAGATCAGCATCACCTACTGGAGCAGATATTATTGCAAAGGAGCTGGATGAGTTTAATAGTCGATATCAATACCTTCTCGATCTTCTATATTCAAGATTGAAAGAAATTGCAGAAAAAAATCCGGCAGATATTGTCACTCTGGTGAGTTTTTTTAATTTTACCTTACATAATATGTAGTGCGTATTTAGACTTTTTAATGGACAAAAAGGCATTATTGAATTAAATTTTTGATATAAGAATCGAGAAACAAGAAATTTGCAAATTTGGCACTAAATAAAATCATTACATAATTTCTATTTTATGTCCCTAATCAGTTTTGAAGGAACAATGAACTTCTGAACTGTTGAGGTAAATATTCCAACGCTTCGCTCAACGTTTATGAATTTTATCGGCATTCTAAAACAGAATTACGAATTATGAATTATGAATTACGAATTCTATAAATTGTTAAGTCACTGTTAAAAAGAGGAATTCAACATCCTTTTTTCTAAAATTAATTTAAGTTACAAAATAGTACAAATGAAATCAATTTATGTACTCACATTGCCAATATTACAAATTAAAAGGTTTTACTACAAAATTTGGTTAACAAATTTACGGAATAGCCAACAAGGGAGGGAGGCGCACTCCCATTTTTGCCGAAATTACATTAAATAAATCTTATATTTCTAAATTTCAGTTGAAAATATTTTTGATGATGAGTTATTTTTGAAATTGAAAATAATCGTTGTCTTCCTTTCATGTAGGTAACATGAAATTAACACAATAGATTTAGTCGAAGCGTACTCACAAATAAAAAATAACAGATACTTTAGGTATAATAATTTATTCATGTAAAAGAGGCCAACAATATGGAATAACACACTTTGGAAATAGATAAAATTTGTTGGATCGGGTCACTCGTGACAAACTCGTCTTCCTGCCTGTATAGTCGCATCAAAATCTGTTTAACCTTTTCGAAGGATAGCTCCTACAAACAGACAATAGTGTTTTAAGGGTCGTTCACATCTAAATAAAACAGATCTTTCAAGTTATTTTATATGTTTAATACACATAATTGGGGTCGTATAGATACTGATTCATTTTTCGTACGGACATGCTGATAACACAATCGACACCATCTAGCGAAAAATAGTAGTAGTAGGTGTGTTAGTTGTGTTAGTATTTGCAATTTTCTTGCATTGTGAATGTACAGTATAATGTTGTCTAGAATTACGCAAGTTGTATATCATAATTATTAAGTTAGTCGCACAAATATCACTGGATGCGACTGACAACGATAGCGATTTTGAATATTCAAAGTAATAATTTAATTTAAAATACCTGCTTTTTTGGCTTCATGCTAAATACTGATGGTTACCACCATCTAGCGAAAAATGGTAAAAATTAGCTGCATAACTTGGTGACGGTTGTATAACACTGTAACAACAGGTACAAGAGCGGTTCACAAACTCCTCTATCAATACGCTATTCACGTTATAGGAAGGGTACTGGGATGGAACACTGTGCAGAATAAATCTAATTTAGATGCTGCAGACGATCTTGAATAAGAATACGTAATAGGTTATACCTGAAAATTTTTTCGATTAAACTTATAATTTGATCACAACGAACATATGACGTACTTTTGAGTCACTCTGTATCTGTTTTTTTTGAAAAATGCAAAAACACTTATTTAGTATTTTTTTACGCTCTTTTGATTAAAGTTGGTCCCATTAAAAAGTAATAAATAGATTTTTTGATTTTCAAACTTTCAAAATTACATATTATTTAGTTTCTTAAATGTGCGATTAAAACAAAAATTAGAAGAAGTGGCTGATTTTAGATATCTAGGAAGTCAGATAAGTTAGGACGGAAGGAGTGTAGAGATATAAAGCAGAGGATAGCACAGGGTCGTATCGCCTTTAATAAAAAGAATCACTTCTATGCTCGCGAACGGTTAATTTAGAAATTCGAAAAATATTGTTAAAGGTGTGTTTGGAGCGCGGCGTTGTTCGGGTGCGAAACATGGACAGTGTGGGCGGCGGAAAAGAAAAGGTTAGAAGCCTTCGAAATGTGGTATTACAGGCGAATGATGAGGATACCGTAGGTAGAAAAGGTTAGAAATGAAGAGGTATTAGAAAGAATAGGAGAACAGAGGACTCTATGGAAGTCAATAAAAATAAGCGAGATAGGTTGGTAGGACACGTTCTCAGGCATGAAGGTCTAGTCAGAGACATATTAGAGGCAAAAACAGTAGTTAGGAGGGGTAAGAGGTAGACCTAGGTTAGATTAGGTTAATATGTGAAAATCATTCTTATGAAGTATCAACTTCGGAAATTAGTTGCGCCCCATAAAAATGTGTTTCGCTTTCTTGGTTTTAAGAATAATTGCCTTTTAACCTTCACCTTCTGTAATGTGAATTGTATTCTTGGCGTCCTTTTATCTCATAAATGTTTAAAATTGATGACATCAGGAGATGCAGCCTAATCGTGTAGATAATAATGTGCCCAATTTGTTTTTAACTTTGTCTTTTATTTGTGTAAATTGATTGAAAGGTTCCTCTTTATGTCAAAAACAGTAATTGGTGAATGACGTAATCCACAAATGACCACTGTTATTGAATTATAACATCAAAAGACGATTTGAAATACTTTTATTAATCAGTTGTTTAAAAAGAATCACGTCAAAACCTGAACTCATGTTATTAATACATTGCATTTAATCTTGGCGAAAAAAAAACCAACAAAATAATAATTTAATGTAAAAATTACTATGATGTTATTAACTTAATCTTTTTAATTATAATAAAAGGAGTAGTTTTTGCCGTACCTGTGAATTTCACATATGAACTATTAATAATCAATTTACTGTTTTGTGATTTTATGCAGCAAAATTATGGATCAGGAAATGATGATCGGTACAATATTATTAATAATAGATACACATCTACAAAGAAAAAACATGAAACTATCAGTAATTAGATTTTATTCGCATAATGGATTGAATTATTTATTTAATATTTCATACGGTTAACAGCAGAAAGCGTACTTGCTGATTACAAAAATTAAAAATTAAAATATCTGGTTACTTTTATGGTTTAGTTTGTTTTTCCATTTCCGTTGATCCATTGTTTGAATTATTGCCATTAATTTACGAATTTACAATATTTTCTTATCGACGGTTTATTTTCCTTAATTAGACATCATACTTTACAAGACTTAATTAGTTATTTTTCAATTACCAATTGTGTTAAAAGACATTTCACAATTTTAACGTCTATAAATAGAACATTCCTTTTGAGATCATATACCTACGATTATACGAAATACTCAATTTTTACAAGCATTGTGTATTTTTACGTGTAAAAATTTTAGTCATCACTCATGGAAGTAGATACTTATTAAGTGAGTAAACAGGTATATGATGGTNATTAAAGATTTATTGTAATCAGAAATACTTTTAATTCTTGCGTTTTAAACACTTTTCTTTACAATTGTACATTTTCACAATTTCGTGAATATGCAGTTATGATAAAGATTTAAATGTTATAAAAATATTAAAAGAATTTGTAAAGAGCATGTAAAACTGCGCCATTATCTTGTTTATCACTTTAACATAGAGACTCTTCCTAAACCTTAATTTAAGTAAGAATAAGCGAATTATGAGTACGTAATAAAAATGTGCTCATACCGGTGATTGATTGCAATAATTATTGCTAGAATATTCAGGTGACTCGTTGGTGGATATTAATGTAGTCTAACATTGAAACTTTTACTTATACTGGTAGTTATTTAGAGGAAGGATAGTTTCAAGGAATTCGTTTTTTTTGTAGTAGTAAATATGCATTTATTCACGTATGACATCATAACTGTTTTAGTCATGCTGATGAACCATATGGACTGATTTTGTATTGCAGATATTTTTCACGAATCCCTAAATTATTGCAAATATCACTTATAATATAACTAATAAGCAGTTTTCAAAAATATGTATAATTATTGAAATAATTGTCAAATAGGTATATAGACGAACTTGTCATGTAACTACTTTAGTGGCCATCAGTCGTGTGTGCGATATATTAACTTACGGTAACATTAACACATTATCATACTCGGTTGTAAATTATTCGTCTATACATATATGCGATGATGTAATTGTTTTCAGACGTTAAAAATATTAATTTTAGTGTTTTAGTAATGCGAATTCTAAAGATGTAGTATTTAAGAAATTGTTTTCTGACATTTTTAAAGTTGAAAAATTATTTATCGGTTTGTGTTTTATTAATTAGTATTTCAATATTATGAAGGGTCACTATTTAAATTTACATGGTTATATCGTTTGGTGGTTACTATTTAGATATAAATGGTCAGTATTTAAATCGAAGGTGGCAATGTTTAAATTTACGTGGTCTAACTAAATAACTAGCAAACTAACTAACCTATCGTAACCAGTTACTAATTAGAGTACTGATTAATGTATGTACTGACAGTTAAGTATGTTAATACTCGCCGTATATTATTATTGTACTAACCCTTGAGTATTTTCATACTGACCATTTAATATTTTTATAGTGATATTTGGGTAATAAAATATTGACCCAATGTTGTTTTATCTGCTGACCGAAAATGGATTTAAATACTGAACATTTAATGTGTTGCCTTATTTATCTAGGTCACGTTACATAAATCAATACTTTGACATTAATACAAGTATTAACAGAATTTATTATGTTAATTGGAAGTCGGTACATGGTGCATTTCAATATACATTTAGCAGGTGATAATAGAGCAATCACTTCTATGCTCGCGAAC